CAGTTTGTGTCCAGTCACAGCGAGGATTCGCACGGATGTCGGATGGATTTTGGCTTGGGGACAGATTGGCCGAAGCACAGCAATAGAAAAGATGGATTCCGTGCTTCCCGCGTCAACAATGAATTTGTGCGTTATGCTGGACTGTAATGTCACATCTGTGTATAGGAATTGGGTGCGTTGGCTTTCGGATCGTAGAAAGAGCACAAGATTTGTGTCATTTGCAGCAGTTGGTTGTGCAAGATTGCAACGGGGCTGTTTACACACCCTCCCAATTTGGCCAGTTTTCCCGCATGCATGACACTTGTCATTTCAGAAGCGGCAATTGGAGCGCAGATGGCAAGCTCCACATGACAAACACGAATTGATAAGTTTCTCGTTGCTTGAAGAGTCGTGCTGCGGCTTCGGAATACACTTGGCCATTGAAGGTCGGTTTGATCGTGTCCTCTGCCGTTGGAATAATGTGACCGATTCGCTGGAAGTGGCTTTCATCAGGTCGTCGTGTTGCTCACAGATCTCGCAGCAAAAGTTAAATCTTTCTTCTCCAGCAATATCCGTTGAAGAATCAGATTATTGCTGCCTGCCACTAAGCGGTCACACATTTGGTCTTCCAGGCGATCACCATAGTTGAAGCGCGATGCTTGTTTGTACAGCTGCAAGATGAATTCACGGCAGGAAACAAGATCGGTACGAATCATGGAGTTGAATTTGGCCCTTTCGTGTGCTTGGAATTCAGTGGGCAGCAGGTGGTTGAGAAGCAGCGATTTCAGGGACTCGTATGGTAGTTTAGCCGGAGGGTCTGGGAATGCCAGGTTTTTCAACAGGGAGTACAGGTCACCGCCGCCAGCAGTAAGAAATAGGGTTGACTGAATTTGTGTACCACCTTTGCGAATGCTGCACCACAGCTCGAATCGTTCAACCCATTTCTCGATCTCAGATGGGCTTTCCTGTAGGTTCAGTTGCTCAGTCGTTGAAAGCTCAATCACGCGACGCTAATTTGAGATGATCATAGTAGTAGTAGTAGTACGCACTGAATTCAGAATGCAAACCACGCAATAGGAATCACTATACACGAACCAATAATCAGCTATCACGCACTGGATCACAGAAGCAATGGACCGCAGTGGCACCGGTTCGCAATGTCCCACGAGAACGATACGCGAGGAAAAGGCCACAAGAATGGTAGTAAGCAGTAGTGTATTTCATGCTGAATGTTTTGAAAATCCTTCCGAACCCATAATGATTTATGGTGAAATAACTTTATCTGTGCGTTGCTCTTATATTGGCATTTCTCGATCACAAACACCATACATCATTATTTATCTGTTAATTTCGATGCCCGGCACATTTGAATTTGGCGTGGTTTGAGAACGGGAGCGACCGTTTGCCTCTCTCTGGACATCTTATTTGGCTCGCTTGTTTGAGTGCTTTTGGCCGCATATTTGAGGGTTGCTTTATTGTACACATTGTAATGATTTCGTTAATTCAGTACCGTAGAACATTGCGGATCAATTGTGTTTTTACTTTGGGATCCGTATCGGTTGGGCTACGCGCCACTCAAGTGCGAATTGGTTGACGTACAGTAGTTCGTTTATTGAAAAAAATGAGTGCAATTAAATAATATGTACGAAAGAAAATTATTGGTTGTTTAAGCTTCCACCAATCGGATTGCAATACTTCTTGCATAATCATGCTTCTGTCTGCACTGTCTTGGATTCGCTGGCACCATCCACTAATGACGTGTATTTTAAAAGCCATGCACAAGTCATAGATGTCAGCATTCAAACTTGATTGATCGCAAATGTCCTGAAACTGTAACGCGCCGCTCCAGGCTGGGAAACATCTTGCAGTCATGGATCACCACACTTGAGCCGCCGATGAAACCGTTCGAGCGACCCATTGACTGCAGGGNCTTGGTGGTCTGGTTGTGGATACAACCCAATACGTGGAGTAGGGTCTTAAATGTTACTTCGAAATGCGAGCCCCTATCGGTAATCACAGTGGCTGGGCATTCGTAGGTGGCAACCAAACGTTCTAAAAAGGCCTTAGCGACGGATTCGGCAGTGCAGTTCGGTAGGGGAATAGCCTTCGACCAAAGTGATAAGCGATCTACGCATGTCAAGAGGTTTGTGAAACCTCCAGAAGAGGGCAAACCAGATCGACATGCACGTCGATCGTGCAGTCGGAGAGTCGAAAACTCCTAGTGGAGTCCTAGTGTGGCGATGTACCTTATTTCGCTGACACTCTAAGCACGTGCGGGCCCAATGAGCTACGTCGCGATTCATTTGGGGCCAGACGGAACGTTCGGCGACCAACTTTACTGACGCGCGAATACCGGGTTGCGACAAGTTGTGCAAGGTATTGAAGACCTGCTTCCTAAATGGTCGTGACACCACCGGCCAGGGAGTGCCTGGTTAACATTCGCACCAGATGTTGACGTCTGCAGTGGTGTGCAACTGAAAAGTGCCGTATATCCTCAGTGAACTGAGTGATAACGTCTAGGTGGCAAGACTCCCAGGGAGAGTACCGGTCGGAGTGTGAGCGAAGTGCTTAGTTCAGTGGCTTATGTGTGTCCAAAATGCCGTATCTCGAGGCAAATGGCGAGTAATTCCCGACCAAAAGTGTCATAGCGCAAATCAGATGGTTGTAACCGCTTAGAAAAGAAAGCTAACGGGTGCCAATCGTCGATGATCTGCTGTTAAAGCACTGCACCTACCGCTACATCGGATGCATCGATGGTGCGCGCCAGAGGGGCACCGGGAACGTAATGTGAGACGGAGGCTGTTAAGACCGAATTCCAACCGCCCAACTATGCACCGTAATTCAGGGCCCTTAACACAACACAGAATATCAGAACACACAGACGGCATGCGGCCCGGAATCGGGTTAACGATTTAATGAATGATCGTGAGAGTACATCAATCAATTAAACGATGACAGACAATTAGGTCAAGCTGGCGTATGGACAAAAACTGATTGAATGAGTATTAGTCAATATCTGTCATGAAAAGCTTTGCCACATGACTGTACGATCACTGGGAACTGATAGACGAATGGATACGTAGCAGAGGCCCCAAAACTTCCATAACGAAATAGATTATCAGGTTCATCAAAGTGTATAATGGCAGTTGAGATTTTTTGAAGAAAGTCCTCGCTCGAAGTGACGCTCGCCGTTTGCATGTTGTACAACGAAAAACAAGCCCGTCACGGCTTCAGGTAAACTCTTGAGGTTTCATTATTCGTCCGCATGGGCAAGTTCGCTATTTCGGTAGCAATCCACGATACTGCATATATTCCAAGCATGCTTCTTGAAATCCATGTAAAATACGGTACCTGTGTAACATGGAGGACTTAGCCCACCGCTGCCACCGATTCGTAATACACGGCAGGAGGTTGAGTCCGGATAACACGATCCGAGTTCCTGGTACCAATAGCGCTGTCAAAATGCCGATAAGAAACCTGTTTAGGGTGTGGTATATGCGGCCCAGTACAGACGCTCTCAGTGAATGGGTAGGAGACACTTCGAATGACAGGTTCTCCGTGGAAGGGGGATTTCCAAACAACCTACAAAACAGGGAAAATACAAAAGAACCGTGAACCAAAAGGTCCAGTAAGACATGCACAAGACCCACACTCAATCCAAAATGCCGGTAACGTGCTCAAGGTGCCTGACATTACACATGTTAGACAATAGATCCAGACATGGTCAAGGTCAACGTCAATTGAAACAAACAGTCAGAAAAATCCCCTCTATATATTATTGAAATAGAACAACTCATTTATTTTTGAAACAATATAAAAAAATTAAGGATTCATTTAAACCTAGGTGTCTACATTCTTAACCACGAGGTGGTTACAAGTGGGGTTCCCAAGGGCTCAGTGTTAGGCCCCCTACTTTTTCTCATATTCATCAATGATCTGGCACAGGATCTTCAAAATCCGTGCTTCGTGTATGTTGATGATGTCAAAATGACGGGGTTAAACCTGCAAAGGGAACTAGAGGTAGTCCATCGATGGTCGGTCAAGTAGGACCTACCCTTGAATCTAAACAAGTGTAGGCTCTTGGTAACGAGACTGTGGGTATAGTCCTTGAATGGAGCTCCCATGCAGCAGGCCCCGCAGATGAGGGAACATTACCTGCAGAAGCGCTCAACTGCACCAATGGTAACGACAATGTGGCCCAATGTTGGTCAGCAACGTTCCCCGAAGTTAGTATTTATAGTGGGAACATAATGAATAAATTCTACTTTAGCCGGAAGCTTTGAAATGATGCAAACTCGGGATTGACTGTTGGAATTATTCTAAAACTGACTGTCCTGTCACTTGTGATCTGTGTATACGAACGCATGTGTACTTGAGGTCTCTAACCAATGAGGCGAGGAGATATCCTCCCTTTCAGTATACCCCCAAGGAGTCAACGTTTTGGCAACGGGGCTAAATTCAGAGGATCAGGAACACCTAATCAACTGTACGCAGTGTTGGAAGCTAATGCCATCCGCCGACAGCACAACGAACTGGACGCTCGATGGGCGAGAGCCATAGTCCTCCTGAAAAAACTGAACTGAACTTCAACTGAACCCAACGGTTCTCTGCCCTGTATATTAGTGCATGGGGTACTCGGAACTCCTGGTTAACCTATGACTGATCAACTGGTGCTGCTTCCATCGACAACGATTGGCGTCTCTGCTCCGCGGCCTTACCCCTGCACCACCAAGGACCGATTTTAGCAAACTGTCGAAGCGTTAAGAGACACACGTGGCCCGTAGACGCAAGAACCTGGACTATGATACTGGCTCAAGCCGCAAGTCCTGTGAACTGTCCTGTCCTGT